ACATTATCATGGAATCATTAACCTTGTTGCCCAACCCACCTGTACAGCTCACTTCACCATACCTGTAATCCCTACTTCCCCCCTGTAATCTTTGTCCCCATATTCAAATACATGGAAAGAGCAAACCCAAATCCTTAAAACCTTAGTTGGCAAATTGCAGCTCGCAAGCCACATGCAGCTCTTTGGCCCCTTGAGTGTGGCTCTTCCACAAAATACCTGGGTAAGTCTGTTTTGAAGAAGTGTCGTTAGAAGTTTACATTAAAAAAAATTTGGCTCTCAAAAGAAATTTCAATCGTTGTACTGTTGATATTTGACTCTATTAACTAATGAGTTTGCTGACCACTGCCCTAAAAGATAGAAAGCCAAAATTATATTGCAGACAAATAGAAATCTCACTAGCTGTTTCTGGTAGCTGAACCCTGAGAAGGAAAACAAGAAGAGGTCCCAAGATTAAGAATTCTTGGCAGTTGCTGGGACATTCCTGCAATCTCTCTCATGCTTTCAACCTCACCACACATAACTGGGCTTCCCCAAGCAGGACTTGCCGCTTCTTTAAGCAAATTAAACAAAGAAACACAAAACATCAACACTTTTATACAGGCATGCAGAATACACTAATTTACACCAGAGTATGTCCAGCATTAAAAACCACCAAAGCAATCTCTCTTGTCCCTGGTTTGGGAACTGTCCCTTTCTAGAATTTCAGTATACTCCCAATGGACTATTCTAAAAAAATGGGCTGGGGTCTTTTTTAGTTGCCTTTACTTCCCTTTGTCTAGGGGAATCTTCCTAGGACATGTGCTATGGACCATATGTCTCCCCACCCCCACATTCTGTTTGCTCTGGGGAAATTCAGTAATGGCCTAGTGGCCAGGGGTCGGCAACCTTTAAGACATAAAGAGCCACTTGGACCTGTTTTCGAAGGAAAAACAAAAACAAAACCTGGGAGCCGCAAAACCATTGCGACATTTAAAACAAATATAACACTGCATATATTGTTTCTTACCTTAATGCTATATACCGGATCGTGCAGAAAAAGGATTTTTTCACTTAACAAAAAGAGCCGCATGCGGCTCCGGAGCTGCAGGTTGCCAACACCTGGCTAGCCACTTACTATTTCTTTTTCTATGGAGATAAATCAGAGGCATGCTTCCTATGGGGGAAAAACAATTTCAGAATAGTTCTGAGACAGTATCTAAAATTTTTTATTTCCATCTTATTGGAAGAATTTTTTTTCTATGCTTTTCCTTAGAAGCTTCTTATTTCCAAATCAAGATATGCTTCCCATATACTCATTCAGTTTAATTTCAGAGCCAGCATTTTCTACAATAATTTCAGCATGCAAAATATTAATGTAGGTACCCAAAACAAAGTGCATTTTGGCCATTTCTGTTTATATGTTCTAGTAAAATCTTCCCATTTCTGTAAAGTACTTGCAAGTAAAGGCAAGTAATATCAGGAGTATTAAATACGGGCTGGGGTTTGAGGAGCTTCTGGCCTTAAAGACACAATTTCACATGTTAATTTATATATATATATATATATATATATATATATATATATATATATTTATATATAGATATATATAGATATATATCTGTAGTCTGAGCAAGCTTTCTAAATATGTTATACAGTGGGTCAAGTGTGACCTCAGTTTCTCTCCAGGTTATCTAAAACCACAGGGGGGCCAGGCAGACCAAGCTTTGATGAGCCATTTAATTACAGTTGTGTTGGAACTTCCCTATAGGACTCCTGCATTTCTGACACCTCCACAAAGATTCTTAGTCACCTAAGAACACCCCAGAATCAAACTGGTGGGAGGATGTGCCCCTTTATCTTCGAAGCTGAATGAGTTCAGCTCATTTATATAGCAAAGGTTATTTTTGCTCAGACTCTCAGCAATTCCAATTGAAAAGCCAAAATCAAAACCAGCTACCCATTTTTTCCTTTAGTCCCACCTTAGCCTGGGTTCTGTCAAACATTAACCTGAGTTTTGTCAATCCTGGTTCCACCTCAAGGATTTTAAAACAGCTCAAATAAAGCTACCAAAGCGAGGGAAAGTCCTGGATCCAAGAGACAGCTCACCCAAGTTCACCCAATGGGTGGAGAACTGGCGGGCTCAATGGGCCCTTTGCTGGATCCTAGCATCGAGTCCAAGTCCAAGGGATGGTCCCGGGTGAGCTTCTTTGGAATCCTGCCATGACTGTGCCACGTAATGTTAACCATAGAAGCCTGTGAAGAATGTTTGTGAGTTTATCTGAGCCAAACTGTTGTTGTAGAGTCGAACCCTGGGTTCAAAATAAGACCACTGGAGGCTGATGATTGATTAAAAAAAGGAAGGCAAGGATTTATTGAAAACTGGCCAGGACAGCCACAAGAGCACCACACACAGGTGGCCACACCCATGACCACACCATTCCAAGTGTAGGCAGTCCTTTTAAGGTCTAAACCACAAGAATTTTCCTTTGTTCTAAATTCTAAAGGCTGGGAACATCCCCGCAGGGTCGCTCCCTGCCACAGCCTGCTGGACATTGGAATGTGCCCCTATCTTGCAATAGCTGATAATGCAGAAGCAGAGCTCAGTGGTTGATCTCTAAAGGTTATCTACAGTTTCTATCCCTGAAGCTACTGAGTCTGTGGGAATCAATCTCCTGTATTTCTGGTACCAGGCACAGGAAAATTGCCTTAGCCTCCAGGTCTCCACCTGGAAGCTGAGGTAACTACCCTATGCTTAAGCAGGTGCAGAAGCCAGAATAGCAGGATAAAATTCAAACAGCAGTTTTTACCCAAGTTTGGTTGCTACCATATTTCACTGTAGACAAATGCCAGGAAGCAGAACCTCAACAAATTGAATAATGCTTTGGAGATTGGGGATTACATCTGTATTTATACATTGCAATCAAAGGAAAGGGATATAGGTAGGTTACATGAAATTCATTGGTCATAGACTAGACTCTAGTCTCAGAAGTCAGCAAATTCATTAGTCAACAGAGCCAAATATCAACAGTACAACGATTGAAATTTCTTTTGAGAGCCAAAATTTTAAAACTTAACTTATTTTAACGACACTTCTTCAAAATAGACTTGCTCAAGCCATGGAATTTTGTGGAAGTCACACTCAAGGGGCCAAAGAGCCACATGTGGCTCAAGAGCCGCAGTTTGCTGACCACGGGACTAGATAGACAGGAGAAAGCAAATTGGGGGTTGGCTGGTGGGAGGAGGGGCAAGAAACTCCTGGGATTAGATAAAAAGTAAAATGATGGACACATAGGTGCAGGAACAATTAACATAATGAAGGAATTTGTGGTATCTGTCCTGGTGATCAGCACATTAGGTTGTGCCCCAAGGGGTCCAAAAAAAGGGAAGTTGCAAGTTACCCAGACATTTCAAAGGGTATGTTATCATAGATGCAAAAAGACAGGCTTGGTTAAGGTAAATGTTGACATTGTCAGTGAAGATACCGGCCTAGGAGGTGACTAATCACCACAATTGCTCCCAAAGTTTAATTTCAGACCATCCTTTGAGATTACCTTAGGTCTCTGAGACCTCAAGACTGCCATGCAGGCCTTCCCTGAGCTTGTCAGGCTAGCATGTGGCCTGCTTTGTCCACAATACAGTGCATTCGCCCACATGGCTCACAGGGCAAGTGGAAGCCACACAATAGACTAATAGACTTGCAACTAACCTAATGCTGCACTAGACCCAACTACACCATGGAAAGAAAACTTTGGATGCTGACTTTGCTTCTAGCTTTCCTGAATTCCTAGCTACACATCCTCCAGGACTGATTTAAGGGAAATGGAACTTTGGAAATACAGAGATCTAATACCATGCAAATAAAAGTCACTCATCCTGTTATGTGAGTCTCAGAAAATTATTTTCCTCCAGATATCTTAAGGATCCCATACCAGCATGGAGTAGGGAAAGGGATACTCCACTTCCACCAATAAGATATTAAGAAAACGCTACAATTATGTTCCAATATGTTCTTTCCATAATGCATCAGTAGGAACAGCAAAAATAGGTTGAAGAAAAACATTCCATACAAGCGTTTCAAAAGATCAACAGAGACGACCCCACTGGCGCCATGGGCCTCTCTGGCTATTGTAAAAGAAAAGAGCCACATGCTAACCTGACAAGCTCAGGGAAGGCCTGAGTGGCAGTCTTGCAAACCAAGAGAACTAAGATAATCACAAAAGATGGTTTGAAAATTAAATATCTAACAGGTTGTAGTAGGTAGTCATGTCCCAGATATTTCACCTAACAAAGATCAACTTTGATCTAGTTCACTGAGCCCATCTGCCATCCTGCATCTAAGATAACATATCTGTGAGATGTCTGGGTAATTTGTAACTTCCTTTTTACCCCAGACCCCTCAGGGCACAACAAATGGCCTCGAGACATTCCCTCATTATTATTGTTATCAAGTTAATTGTCAGCTGTTAATAAGTTAGTATCCTGTATCCATCTCCATAAAAGAAGCTCATGTCCATCATTACACTTTTTACCCTATCACAGAGGTTTCCCTGTTTAGCTCTGTCCCACCTCCCTAATCTATCACCAATGAATTTCATGTAACTCACCTTCGTCCCTTTCCTTTGATTGCAATGTATAAATATATTAATAGAAACGTAAACCGCCATTCTTCGGAGCTTTATCTCAACCCATTGAGGTTCTGCTTCCTGGCATATGTCGACAGTTTGGCACAAATAAACTCACAAAAAATTCTTTACATGTTTCAATGGTTTTTTTCGTTAACACTATCCACCTACTAAACCCCCTGCACCCTGAAAGGTCGCCACATCACTTGGTTTCTTTCCATCTCTCTATCAGGCACAGGGGGCCCCTCAGACACAGATGGGAGCCTGCACATCATCTCCAGAGCCAGGAAGGTGCAGTTGATGGACGCGCAGGCGCACCCTTGGAGGGCTTGCTGCAGGCGGAAGTGAAGTCGGCCGTCCACAGCGTGGGCAGGGAGCAGCGTGGGCGGGGAGCAGCGTGGGCGGGGAGCAGCGTGGGCGGGGAGCAGCGTGGGCGGGGAGGGCAGGCCAGACAGAGTGGGCGCGGTTGGCGGAGACGGGAGCTTCGAAGTTCAACCCACCCAACGAAGCAAAGCCTCCGCGCTGTTAGCTCTTGTGGAGCCACTTCGCCAAGCGGGTCCCCCAGACCCAGGACGCCACCACAACGGGCAGCGCGGTGAGTGGGGGGTGGGCTGTCTGGCCGGAAGTGCGGCTCTTTGTGCAACCGCCCTGGGGCGGCACCGAGGTTGAGTCCGTCTCTCAGGCCCTTCCGAGCCCTGGAAGGGATCCGCGCACTTTGTTCCGCAGGGCGGGGCTGTTCGGTGTAGCCTTGGTTCCTGGGACACACAGAGCCTGGTAGGCGGAGAGGGGTGCGGCAGTGCAGTGTGGGCTTTGAGGACTGTTACCTAGTGAAGTCTTTGCACAAAAACGTTCTCTGTGTTCTTTAAGGTGTTATTTAGATCAGATCAGGAAATTGGAAGAAAAATGGAGAAGCAGCGGTTTTTTTGTTTCTGTCAGTTAGGTTTGGGTTCTTATGATTTTGATAATTTCATATATACAATTTATTCACTTTCTCTATCCAAGATGTAAAAAATATTCTATTTGCCTGGCAGAAGCTTAGTGTTCGCCCTCCAGCTTGAAATGCTTTTAATGTTTTCGTCAGAAAGGACATTTTGTGTCCCAGTCTTGCTTAATTTTGAAAAAGGTACGATTTTACAAATTGTCTACAAACAAGCTATTTCTCCCTTATAGTGTATATAAGTGTGTACATAATGGATTTTTAATTTTTTAAAATGTTTATAAAAATATTTTGGAGTGTTTTGGCATGCAAGAAATTTTTTTTAGATAGAAAGGTTTGTCTGGTTCCCACTCCTTAAATTTTAAAGTCATCCTTGTATTTGTAATTTCAGGTTACTTTCCCAAATATTTTATGAAACACTAGGTTAATAACTTTTATTTTCGGCACATTTTTAAACGTTGGCAAGTATAAATGTAGTGGATTATTTTTGCATTTTAAACTAAGAATTAAACAAGTCAAAGCTATTTTTTTTTCTACTGTTGATTCACATTGTGGAGATTTTGTTTTAAGTTACGCGGTTTACAAGTGTTTGCATACCTTACTTATGATTAGCCCTTTCCTGAAACTAAGGTCTGGTAGAGGTCCCTGAGGGATTTAAGAGTTGGAGACAGCCTGCTTCCTTGGGTTCGGCTGGGTGGTTTTGGTGCAATAGTTACTACAATAGAAGTGCCTAACACATAGCGCCCCCTCTAACTGCCTTCTGCTCTTCATAATAGTGGAAGGATTGGCCATGTGTGTAGGGCAAATGCCTGACACTCATCAGACAGGAGGAAGCACCATCTGCTGCAGCAGCTACCCCTGCCCTCCTATCAGGCTCTCCTGTTATTTGTTAGGATTTTCAGATATTCTGCTCTACAACTGCTTTTCAACTCATTTCTGTTTTAAAGTTAGACAGAATTATGATGCCAGAATTATTTGAATCTTCAAACATTGAGACAATGAGCAGTGTAATGCCACAGAACTAGAGAATTAGAATTAGAAGAAGAAAAAAAAACTTAAGTGCCCTTAAAAATATGATTTTAACTTTTTTTAGGTTCTTTATTTTATTTTATTTTTTTAATTTAATAAATCTTTATTCAGATCATTACAGGTATCCCTCTTCCCTCCCCCCCATAACTCCCATCCACCTGGTTCCCATCCCACCCTCTTCCCTTACCTCACCCCCACTGTCCTCATCCATAGGTGTACGATTTTGGTTCTTGCTATTCATCACTTTGAATATTTCTTGCCACTCCTGTCTGGCATGCATATTGAGAAATCAGCTGACAATCAAATGGGTGCTCCCTTGTAGGTAACTAACAAACTGTTTTTCTCTTGCTGCTTTTAATATAATATTCTCTCTTTGTCTTTTGCTCTTGGCATTTTAATTATGATGTGTCTTGGTGTGGTCCTCTTTGGATTCTTTTTGTTTGGGGTTCTTGGACTTTTAAGTCTATTTCTTTCACCAGGTGGGGGGAAGTTTTCAGTCATTATTTCTTCAAATAGGTTTTCAGCATCTTGGTCTCTTCTTCTGGCACCCCCATTATTCTTATGTTGGTATGCTTGAAGTTGTCCCAGAGGCTTCTTACACTATCTTTAAATTTTTGGATTCTTTTTTCTTTTAGCTTTTCCAGTTGAGTGATTTTTGCTTCTTTGTATTTCAAATCTTTGACTTTTTTTCTTGCATTCCTCTAGTTTGCTGTCGGGTATCTGTACAATATTTTTTATTTCAATCAGTATATATTTAATTTCTAGTTGGTCCTTTTCCATATCCTTGAGGGTCTCCCTAAATTTATAGGAAATTCTTGAAAAACTTTATAACTGTGGTTTTGAACTCTATCTCCAGTCATTTGTTTTCCTCCATTTCTTTCATTTGTGATTTGTTTCTTTGTGTCTGCATTTTCGCTGCTTCCCTGAGATGGTAGGGTAGCTTTGTGTGCTTGGTGTCCTATATGGGCCAGTGGCTCATCCTCCCCAGTTACCCAGGCTGCAGGGCCACGGGCAGTGTCCAAGGTCAGTCTGGGTGGTGGTGCTGATGAGTTCCTAAAAGTAGCCATTTGCATGGTGTGGGCTCCGTGCTCAAGCCCTGTGGCCTGGGTAGTACCTACAGCAGTTGTGGGTGCTCCCTGTTCAGGAGAGCCTGGTCTGCCAGCCTCTGATATTCCTGCTGGATTTAACTGTCCCTCACTCACTCACACACACACCACACATATACACACACTCTCCTTTCACCCCTTTACTTACTCACACCCTCTCCTTCACCTCTGTCCTACCAGCTGCCATTTTCCCCTACTTCACCAGATATTTCTTCATTTAACATTTTTCACAGCAATTGAACCAATATTTCATGTAGTTAGATATGTTTTACTTAACTATTCTCTTCTTTATAAGAACATTTAGGTTATTTACAATCCCCCCCACCCCCCCCTACATACACTATTTTAAGCAGGGAGGTAGAGAACACCACTTTTTTTCTTCTTCTTAGCTTCTAATGCTCTGAAGCAGTTGTAAAGAAAAGTTTACAGTGTCCTATTGGGTCCCTTCAGACATTGCTGTTGCTTTTCTATTTACTGTTGTTTAGCAGCAGAATGAGATGTCTTACTATGTAAAGGAGAGGAAGGACTCTTGTTACCTTCTTTTTTTGAGATTATTCTTGGAGGAAAAACTGAGAACAATAGTGTTTGACTAAATCTTTCTTTTTCTTTTTTAGTTCTCAAAGTCATGAATCCTGTTTATAGTCCTAGTTCATCTGGAGTTCCCTATACGAATGTCAAAGGAATTGGTTATCCAGGTAAGTAAGTACAATTTTGTTTTCATTATTGAACTTTTAATTTGAGCACTGGTGAATTTCCATCTCACTAAGAATGCTTTCAGTTGACAAACCCAGCTCAAAGTGTCTTAGGTAAGGAAGAAAATGTATTGGCTCATGGAACTGAAAAATCATGGTACTAGAAAATCAGAAGCTCTGTTGACCCCAGTGGTTTGGGACTAGGATCTAGCCCTCCTGGACTCAGCATTACTTTCTCATCATTAGCTCAGTGTTAGTCACAGGTAACACTTCTTCCCATTGTGGTTGGTCTGTTTTGCTCTTCCCGTTAGTCCCTTGGCTAGCAGCATTTTTATAACTTTCCTTCTCTATAGGAAAGTCCCATGGGCCTTCTTGTTTTCTATTCAAGAAGGGCTTTGTTCTGACTGGACTCAGCTTCTATCTCTGGGCCAGGGATGGATGTCTATTGGTTTATTTAAGTCTTAACTACATTCTTCACCCTTATTAGAGTCAACTAGTCAAACATGGGCCGAGAGGGAGGGATGAAGCAAAATTGGGGGAATAGGGGTCTGGTTGGTCAAAAATAGCAAATTAGGCCCTGGCTAGGTAGTTTAGTTGGTTAGAATATCATCCTGATATGTCAAGGTTGCAGGTTCAATCCCCGATTAGGGCACATACAAGAATCAACCAATGAATGCATAAATAGTGGAAAAACAAATTCATGTGTTCCCCCACTTTCCTCTCTCTCAAATTAATCAATTAAAAAAAAAAAAAGCAAATGGTGGTCCTAATTGTTGACTTTGAACAAGGAATAACTATTTGTAATGTTACAGTTTCATTTTCAGTTTTGGTAATATGGTGGAACAGATAACCTTAAAATCATGTTGATATAAACATACCCACACACACACCACACAGACAGACACACACACACACACACACACACACACACACACACACTAGAAAATTGAATAAAACATGTAAAATTTTATGTGATAAAAGATCCTAGTCCCAAACCAGTGGAGTCATCAGAGCTCTTGATTCTCCAGTACCATGGTTTTGTAAGAATATAAGAGAAATATCTGCAGGTAAATATGAAAGCGATATAAAAACCAGTACATTTGGCCATTGAGTTAATGTTAAGCCTGTCCTGGGGGCATTTGCTATTTGTGGGTTTAAATAACCCGCATGGATGCAGCAAGTGAGGCATTAGGCATTTTGTGAGGCTGGGAGCTCTCATCAATCTGGTTCCTTCAGAGAGTGATACTCCCATTGAAGAGGTAGACTGGAGCAATCCATTTACTGGCTCAGAAGGAAATTAGTTTTTGCTTGGGCTTTGGAGATGGGGAAAATATTTCCTAAGAATATGTAACATGAAAAAAATAGATTTAGCCCTAGGCAGTTTGGCTCAGTGGATAGAATGTTGGCCTGGGGAGTGATGGGTCCTGGGTTCAATTCTGGTCAAGGGCATGTACCTTGGTTGCAGGCACATCCCCAGTAGGGAGTGTGTAGGAGGCAGCTGATCGATGCTTCTCTCTCACTGATGTTTTTAACTATCCTCTCTTCCTCTCTGTAAAAAAAAAAAAAAAAAAAAAAAAAAAATCAATAAAATATATATTAAAAAATAGTTTTTATCCTGCAATATTTCCTATAGCACCAGACAGCAGCAAATGCAGAACTCTGTAGAGGCATTCTCAATCCAGGTTTTGAGGGTTTCCCATAAACTTCTCTCCTTAACAGTGCAAAATTATTGGTATGCACTCAGTCCCCATTGGAAAGAGTTATTGTATTTTCCCGCAGTGGCCCCCAATTTCCTCCCCTTTCTGAGCTTATCAGCAGCCTACGCCACTGGCATGTGGAAAATGCTACCAGATGGTGAGTTAGGATTGCAACTGTCTTGAAGGCCCTCTTCTTCTCCTAAACCCCGGCAACTGGAATAACACAGCAAAGACTTTTGAGGTGTAACTATGTCAATGGCTGCAGCACCTGGATAGGTAGCTGAGGATTGCCTTTTAGGTTGTTTCTCAAGTTTTGAGTTGTACAGTACTTCATTCTTTCCCTCCATTATGAAAACACCTCTCCACAATGATTACTTCAGAGTTACCAGTGTTACAGGTTCAACAAATGAAACTGCTGCTCATTCTGATGCTGGCAATGAACTTGAAGAAACAGAAGTCAAAGGAAAAAGAAAAAGGCGTTATCCCAGCCAGCTTCTATCTACACTAATAAAAGAGAAAAATGCTAATTGACCATACCTTCACTAAGCCCACAGCTAATTAGAGCGAGTATGCAAATTAACCCAACAAAGATGACAGTGAACATCCTCTGGACCCAGGCTGCTCCTAGCATGTAGGCCTGTGTTTAGGCCCTGAGCGGCAGAGGTCCCAGAATGCCCCCTGGCCACTTGGAACAGGTGCCAAGTGGCTAGAGGTGGGGCAGGAACATCCCTGCATCACCATAGTGACGTAGGGACGTTCCCACCCCACTTGCAGCTGTTTGCGAATGCAGTGGTTTGGGTCCATGTCCCCAGCCTGGGGTCTCAGGCTGGCAGCGGCGCACAGACCCACATGGCAATTGGGCCCCTGTCCCATCCTGGGGTCTCAGGCTGGCAGTGGCATGCAGACCCATGCAGAGATCCCTTCCTGGCCCAGCCTGGGTTCTCAGCCATTGAGTCACACCAGCCAGGCAGATATGGAGGAATCTTAAATGTTTCATATATATATATATATATATATATATTTTTTTATTGATATTTTATAGAGAGGAAGGGAAAAGGATAGAGAGCTAGAAACATCTATGAGAGAGAAATATTGATAAGCTGCCTTCTGCACAGTCCCCACTGGGTATGTGCCCCCAACCAAGGTACATGGCTTTGACTAGAATTGAACCTGGGACCCTTGAGTGTGCAGGCCGTTGCTCCATCCACTGAGCCAAACCAGTTAGGACTGTCGAATATGTTAAAAGAAAAAACCCTATCTAATAAAGAGGGAATATGCAGGGGAGGGCATTTTGGGGTGACTGGGCTGTCAGGGGAGGGCAGTTGGGGACGATCAGGCTGGCAGGGGAGCACTTAGACATCGATCAGGCTAGCAGGGGAGTAGTTAGGGGTGATCATGCTGGCAGGCAGAAGCGGTTAGGGGCAATCAGGCAGGCAGGCGATCTGTTGGGAGCCAGCAGTCCAGGATTGTGAGAGGGATGTTCCAACTGCTTGTTTAGGTCCAGCAGTCAGACATCCTCTGAGGGGTCCCAGATTGGAGAGGGTGCAGGTTGGGCTGAGGGACACCTCTCCTCTCCGTGCATGAATTCCGTACACCAGGCCTCTAGTATACAAAAAAGAAACCTCGAAAATCTCCAGGAAAGAACAGGAGAATTGAAGCTAGAGTTAGAACTGAAGCCATGGAAAAATGGTTACCTGCAACAGAATAACGAAGGGGAGTCTGTCACATTATTTGAAGTAGTGAAATGGGGAAAGTGCAGTGCAGTACTGGTAGATAACTGGATTAAATCATATAAACAAGACAGAGACAGTGCACTTCTGAATTTAATCAACTTTTTTTTTTTCTAATCCTCACCCAAGGATATTTTTCCATTGAGAGTAGAAGAGAGGGAAACAGAGAAATATCGATGTGAGAGAAACACATCTATTGGTTGCCACCTACACATGCCCTGATCAGGTCTGCAACTGGAATTGAACCGGGGACTCTTTGGTCCTCAGGCCAATGCTCTATCTACTGAGCCAAACCAGCTAGGTTATCAGCTTTTTTACCCTGTGTTTAGAATGTCGAAGTACCGTGAGAATAGACATGTTTTGAAATATGTAGAATGCAGAAATCATCAGAAAAATTACTGAAGAATTTGACGAGGATAGGGGTGATTATCTCCTTACCATGCATTGACCTCACTGGAAAAAAATTTGTGAATTTACCAGAATCCTGGTTTGACAGTATTAGTATAGCATAAGCTATGATCTATATATGATGGACCCAGTAATCTCCCTTTTGACTGGTTTGTCAGACTCCCAGATCAGACTTTTCAGGCATACAAACACCCTTGTTGCTGTGAAGCTCATGCCTGCTTCTGTGAATGTTGCCTTATACCTCAGAATTTATCAGGATAATACTCAGAGATAGTATGAAGCTGAAAGAAATAAAATGATTGGGAAAAGAGCCAATCAAAGGTTAAAGTTTCTACTTCAGAAATGCAAAGAGACCTATGATACTGTGATAGGTGTTATGGGGGAAACATACTTTTGATGTGTACAAGAAAATCAGGATGATATTGAAAATACGAAGAACTTTTTTTTTAAGGATATATTTGTTCATAGATACTGCGATGCTATTACTGAGATTAGAGCCATTTGTATTGAAGGAACTGTTTTATGGGAGAAAATGTATAGTGATACCTTCCTAAATGACAGTTACCTAAAATATGTTGGTTGAACTCTTCATGACAGGCAAGGAGAAGTCAGGGTGAATTTTTGCTAGAGTCTTTATTCCAATAGAGAATTATTTCCCAAATTGGAGCTATTCATAAACCAATTCAAGGATTGCATTGTATCAATGACACAAGGAATATGATGTTGCTTTGGAAGCTATTTGATTGGTTACTCTCATATTTCATTGAAGTAAAGCTCTTTGTGATGAAGACTATGAAAATGTTTACCTCCTGATGGACTTAGCACATTGCCTGTTGCTATGGAGCTGGAGAATCCTTCACAAAAAAATTTTTCAGCAGTCAGTCCCACAAGTAGAAGAAACATTAGCAAAGAGGAGAGGAAAGAACAGTTTAAATAAAAATCTTATTATGATGCTGTGTGTGTATGTGTGCCTGCGTGTGTGTGTGTGTGTGTGTGTGTGTGTGTGTGTGTGTGTGTTTTCTATCTTGAAAGCTTTCATGTTACTCTGTGATCTTTTTTTAAAAAAATATATTTTATTGATTTTTTTACAGAGAGGAAGAGAGAGGGATAGAGAGTTAGAAACATCGATGAGAGAATCATCGATCGGCTGCCTCTTGCACACCCCCTA